ACCTCTTGTCCTGGAAGTAAGAAAAGCTTGGAGGACCCTAGGGAAGACGAAGTGATTGCAGTCCTATCACTGCTTCATGCCAACATGAGCCAGATCCCATGGCAGCACATATGAGCTACATACAAAAACTGCTGCTGCCTCAAATCCGCTCTCCAACCCTGCAAGAGAATCTCCCTATGACTACCATAATGGGAAACATACTGGGAAGGAAATTCTGGAAACTGTAGTTCAGCTTAACTACACTGATATATTTCTTCTTCTTTCTTTCCTTTTTTTTTTTTTTGGGGGGGGGGGGGGGGGGGCGGGAGGCACTGGTGAACAGACCCAAAGGTGCTTAACCACTGAGCAACCTCCCCAGCCTTTTTAAAAATTTATTTATTTATGAATGAATGACAGGGTCTCCTGATTACAGGAGTGCGCCACTGCACCTAGCTATACTGATAGACATCAAAGTCATCACTGTTTCTTCTGAAGTTAAACATATAATTACCATTAAAACCCAATTAACCTGTTGCTAGTGTTTACATGAGAAAGGAAAATTAGATTCACACTAAAATCAAAATACGATGTTTATGGCAACTTTATCCATAATTGCCAGAAACAACACAAATGTCCTTCAACAGCTAAACAAATAAACAAATTGCAGTAAATTCATACAATGGAATAATACTAATGAAATGAACTACTGATACATACAACAAGACTGAGGAATACCAAGTAAAAGAAGCCAAAATTGTAAGGCTATCTACTGTATGATTCCACTCATGGAGTATTTAGAAAAAGGCAAATTGCAGGGCACAGTGTGCACACCTATAATCCCAGCAACTTGGGAGGTTGAGGCAGGAGGATTGCAAGTTCAAGGCCAGCCTCAGCAACTTAGTGAGAACTTGTCTCAAAAGGGTGGAGTAGGGTGGGGATATATCTCAGTGGTAAAGTGCTCCCCCCAAAAAAACAAAGGTGGGGGGCAAAAATTAACTTTAGGGATGGAGATGAAATCAGGGGTTAGGGTTTGAAGAGAACTGCCTATAAAATGGGAGATCAACGGTAGGTTTAATGAACCGTACTGTCTTGACTGAGGCTACAAAAGTATGCATAACCTTATGCTAGAAAGAATATATTTTACTGTGTGCAAATTTAAAAATAAATTACATTAAACTAATCACTAAGTATGAAAATATTGGGCTAGGGATGCAGTTCAGTGGTAAAATGTGTGCTTAGCATGTACAAGGCCCTGGGTTCAACACTCACCACCTCATTCCTCCTAAAAAGCCCTGTATCTGAATATCTGAAATTCAATATCCTACTTGAATTTGTTATGTACAGGAGATGGAACCCAGGGCCTCATGCATGCTAGGCGAGCACTCTACTACTAATCTATACCCCCAACTCGTTTTTAAATATATAACACACCATAAATTCACATGGAATTCAAAGTAGAAAATAAAAATGATTATTTCTGAGAAGTAGGATGAAACAAGTTTAAAAATGACCATTATGATGGTGTTGCCCAGTGCGCTGATAAAGCTCAAGTACTGAGGGGAGAAAAACCCAAGAGAATTTATTTTACATACGCTACCTGTTAATTTCTACAAGAATACTTATTAAAAAATTCATGTCATAGTATTTCTGACCAATACAGTGCCCCAACAACATCAGGTACATGTAATGGTAATATAGGTAATGAGAGAGAATGTGTGTATTATGATTTCTACTAGGTTTATATGCTATTTTTATAATAAGCCTAAAAACAGTACTACAGAAAACACAAAACTCTTTGAGTAGTTTAATTTCTGACATTCTATTTTGTTCACACTGAGATTTTTGACCCTGGTGGCCAATTCCAGTCTCCAAAATATAACAGATCTAAAGTGGATCAGCTCATCAACACGAGAGTTAACCACATTCTAGGGAAACACCTGCAGAGTTAAAATCTGCATTTCCCAGACCCTCTTGCATCTAAGAGTCTGGATATAATCTGGGTTGCACCATAGATGCATGGGCAAGACAGACAGGAAGTTTGTTACTAAAAGTACCCTGCTGATAGGGATCACAACAGAGGCAGGTAGAGAGGTAGCTCTGCAACTGGGTGATTAGGTTTCTGACCATAACACTGACAGCAGCATCCCCAGTTGGTCCATACTGAAATAAAGACGTTCAGAGTCATTCCCAGAAGGCCAATCTCAAGTCTGTCTTTTCACTTTTTCTAGTACTTAATATTTCTTTCTTTTTTTTTTCTTGAGACAAGGTCTTACTATGCTTCCCAAGCTGGCCTCAAACTCAGATCCTCCTGCCTCTGCTTCCTGAATAGCTGAAAGTACTTAATGTTTCAATAAGCTTTCCATTCAAACAAATTAGAATAGAACAAAAGCAAAACTAATATATAACATGCTACAAATTTAAAGGAATTTTCTTAGATCATGAAAGCTAACAAAAAAATTTAACAGTTATACTTATTTTCATACAGTAATTTTTATCTCATACCAATTTCAGTCTTGCTATATTCAAGAATATTGGAAGAACATGTTGTCCCAGAGTTCTCTCCTAGTCCTGTGTTATAAATGCCTGAGAATGCCAGCTGTAAATCTCATAGTTCAGTTTTGACTTTGCATCTGCTTATTTCTCCCTTTGTCTTGAGACATCCAGCTAAAAGGCCAGATAACTCCTTTAAGCCTTTCATAACTTGACTATTTAAACTAATCCTGCCCTCTACTCCCAGAATACTTGCTCATCCACTGATAGGAATTTTACATTGGAGTTGGGTATATATTTTTCAATCTCTTGATGTTATAAACTAATTCCCCCACACTAATTTTTTTTTGGGGGGCAGGGGGCAGGTATTGGGGATTGAACCCAGGAGTGCTTAACCACTGAGCTACATCCCAGCCCATTTTTATTTTTCATTTTGAGACAGGTTCTTGCTAAGTTGCTCAGGGTCTCACTAAGTTGCTGAGGCTGGCTTTGAACTTGCACTCCTGCCTCAGCCTCCTGGGCTGCTGGGATTACTGCACTAGCAAAAACACATTAAATTTCTGTTACAAGTTTAGTGCCTACCCAGAGCCTGGCATTATACAGGTGTTCAAAGTGAGTTAGAGTGAACAGAGTGAACGCTATACTGTAAAATGAGAGTATTATACCCAGAGCAGGGAAAAGTAACTTTCCTTTACAGCAGTTCTCATCTTCTCCCTTATCAGACCTACAGGTTTTGTTCTTCTTTAGGAGAACTTGTTTTTAAAATTTCTATGTAGTGATATAGCTCTATTATATCAATAACTCCTATATTAATAACACTGCACTGTTGTTATCCTGATCATCTGAAGCTAAATACCACTAATGCATTTTAAGTTCTCAGCTGCACGTGCTACAAATTTAAATGACAGTATTATAACAATTTGGGTAGGGTATGAGTGAGGCTGAATTTTCACAACAAATGTCAGTGACACTAACAGATCCAATAATTGTGTTTGGAATTTAAAATATGAACCCATATTAATAAGTAATAATTTTGCTTCAGTACAATTCAGGAGAGATGCAACAACAAAAGGCAGAATATTGGCTCACATCAAATATGTGAATAGTCTATAAAGATTCTATTTTCATCATTTAAAATACAAGAGGCTTCCATAGAAAGCTATTTATAAACTCCTGAAATAAGAATCTCTCAAAGAGATTTAATTACAGACAGTAAGCCCATAAATACAAAGGAAAAAGGAAATACATAATAGAACAGATAAGATTATAAAGCATTTAAAGTGTAAAGTAAAGAGAACAGATCTCATGTGTCCTCAACACACACACAAATGGTCACTAAGTATGAAAGTAGATGAGCTAGTTTGGGGGGGAGGGGGTACAAGGTAGGTGGGGATTGTACTAGGAATCAAACCCAAGGCTTTGCAATATGCTAGGCAGGCACTATATTAATGAGCTACATCTCCAGCCCTTGGATATGTTAATTTAATTGTAGTAATAATCACTTTACAATGAATGTACATAAAATAATCACATTATATGCCTGGAATGTACACAATTTTTTCAACTGCATCTCAATAAAGCCAAAAAAAGAAAAGGTAAGCCATGGTGGTGCATGCCTGTAATCCCAGCAACTCAGGAGACTAAGGCAAGAGGAAGACAAGCTCAAGGCCAGCCTTGGTAACTCAGGGAGACCCTGTCTAAAAATCAGAAACAAAAAGGGCTGGGGATGTAGCACAGTAGTAGAGTACCCCCGGGGTTAAACCCGCGGTACCAAAAAAAGGGGAGGGGGCTTATTAAAAGAACAAGTTTTGGGGGCTGGGCATATAGTTCACTTGGTACAGTGTTCGCCTAATATGCACAAGGCCCTGGGTTCAATACCCAGCACTCCCCCCACCACACATACACACACACACACACACAGGAACAAGTTTTTTTTTTAAACAATAAAAAATTCAAATAGGATCCTGTATATCATTAAGAAGAGTCAAAGATTGAAAACCATAAGGCAAATTCTGCTACTCTGCTTGGTGGAGGTCACTTCTATGTTAAAAGTCTGTATAAAACTCAGGATCAACAATTATCAAGACAACTAGAAAAATACAGAAGAATTAAAGAAGAGCAGTAAGTCTAAACACAGAGATCAGAAATGTTTACTACAAATAGCCAGAACTGTCCATATTTTAACCTGGAACTCCAAGAGTTACTGGAGGTAAATTCATGCCACCAAGGTTTACACCAAGAACTCAGGAACTCCTGCCACTGAATCTTACTCACAATTACTGCCCAGAACAAATGTCAGCTTCTCACTAAACTAGCTTTAGTTCTATTTTGAGCAAATAAAAATCACTATGTAGAGATTGAGCATATAGCTCAGTGGTAGATCGCATGCTTAGCATGCTTAAAGCCCAGGGTTCAATCCCCAACACCAACAAAAACTTGACCATGTCAAAGGCTGCTAAATTAAACCAAATTTCTAAAACACAAAATATTCCCATTCTGACATTTTATTTTATTCACAATTTTCTACTTACAAAGTCTTGACGTATGTCATTGAAGTCCTTGCCATATTTTTCTAGTGCCTCTTCAAATAAGCTAGCTTCAGAGGCCGACCATTCTTCCATTTCATCTCTGCATAAAACAGGTCCTCCAAGTGGTACTAAGACACTAATTGCACTGCTCAAGTCATAGCTGTGTCTATACAACGTATCCATAGCATGAAACTTGAGGAAAGAAAGAAAATAAAACAGGAAATGTCAACAAGATATGCACATTTCCTAGATTATCTAGGAATCCAAACACTAAAATGCATGATAATGCTTAATTAATAATATACCAAGGCAATAACTATTTTTAATAACAATATTAAACAATTAAAATAGCAGATTACTGAATAATTATTCAAAATATCATTTGTTGCATGAAATAAATGTTGACTCACTTTTTTAAGGTGTGTATTTTCAAAAACACGTCCATTTGTTATGGCAACCTAACCATGAAGATCCAGGATATTCAAGGTATTAAATTGGGAACCCAGAAAATTTCCTCACCCTTTTGGTTCAAAATGCTAAAATCATTTCAGTCATATTGAGTAAGGTTGGTATAGCATTTCTTGACCAGGGTAAAAAGGACTATACATCAGAATGTAAGAAAAAACATTCTTAGGTTGGATTAAGAGAGTAATGTACTAAGAACAAGAGATGGAAAGAAAACAGTGGAATGCGCATAATGGTTAAGACAAATCAAAATTACATATTCATGTTAAACAGACAGAACAAAACTACAAACCCATGATAGTACAGTGCTATGGTTTGGGTCTGAAATGCCCTCTCAAAACCCATGCGCTACTGGATGCCAGTTTGTGGCACTACTGGGAGGTGATGTGGCCATTAGAAGGCGGGTCTACTTGGAGGAAGTAAGTCACTGGGGGCATGCAGTTTAATTTTATATTCTGTCCCTGACCCTGTGTTCCCTCCCTCTTTTGGCTTCGACCTGCCACGAAGTGAGCAGCTTTGCTCCTCCACAGCCTTCCCCGATGAGGTTCTGCCTCACCACAGGCCTAAGAACACTGGAGTAGGCTGACCATGGGCTCAAACCTCTTAAAACCAGGAGCCAAACAAAATTAATCTCTCCTCCTTTCAGTTAACTTCCTCAGGTATGCTGGGGGCAGGGATGAAAAGCTGACTAATACAGACGGGTGAATTGCTTAAGATTTTGAAAGACCATGAACAGATGACCAGGCCTGCTTAGAATAGCTAGGCTGGTGTATATATTTCAAGAAAGAGTGATTTGAAAGGAGAAACATTAGATTAGGACATACAAGCAGCTTTCTGTAAAAGTACCTTGTCTAGTTTACTTTAAAAAGCATTTCTCTCCAATTAATGCAATGAATAAACTCAGTTCCATAACTTCAGATTTTGAAAAACCTTCTGTGGGCTTTCTACTACAGAAAAAGAGATTCTTTCATGTAACATGTACAAATGCTCTGCTATTTATCAAAATCTGACTGGGGATAGTTTCAAATAGGGATGGTTTCACTTCTACATAATAATAAGCCTTTCAAATTTTACTTTTTAAGTAACCCCAGCCCCTATTTTAAGTGATTCCTAAATATATTGTAGGGGATTGTGTTAAGTCCCCTACTGGTACAAGAGCATAAAGTAAACTCAAATATCTGAATCCCACAAAACGAAAGCCAAGAAGAGATTTAATTATCAATGCCCCAGTTGTAATCACAGCTAAGGACACTAATCATGTGTAATTTTTGTTTTTGTAGGTGTCACAACCATAAAATAAAAAGTTCCAAGTGGACTTTTCTCACCCTTCAGCAGCACAGGAATGGAAAAATGTTAGAAATGACCTTGATTCCTTCGTTTGTGCTCTGCAAATTTCAGAATCAATTAAATTCTGATTTTCTAGCTAACCTCACTAAATAGACTGCTTAGCTATAGTATATATATTTGTACACTTTTTTATTTTTATGTTTTTAGTTGTAGATGGACACAACATCTTTATTTTGTTTATTTTTATGTGGTGCTGAGGATTGAACCAAGTGCCTCACACTTGCTAGGCAAGCACTCTACCAGTGAGCCACAACCCCAGTCCCTATTTGTACACTTTTATATCATCTCTGAAGCTAATTATTGTTTCTGAGTAGCTGACCTATAAAAATGAAAAAAATCAACAGCATTTAGAGATCCCTTCATTTAGAAATATATTCCCATAAATGTTTACTTATAATTTCCAAAATTTACAACTGAAAACAAAATGAAAAGATTAAATAGTATTAAAGTCAATAATTATACAAATTAACTGTGATGCTAAAATTCTTCAAGAGATAAAGAGTAATTTTTATAATTAACAGGTGCTCAGAAAGCAAAAGTCACAGAATTAAATGTTTGTCTCAGCTGATATTACACCAACCACTGAAACCTCCAAAGCCCATATTTAAACCACAGCCCAGACAAGAGTACAATACCTGTCAGTATGGGTAGAAAGTAAATATTCCACCAGGCTTGTGCATAGTGGAACTCCTAGGGGACAATTCTGTTGAAACTAATGATTACATTTATCACTAGAAGTCCCTATCAACCCCATCTTTTCAATACACACAGAATTTTCTTTTGAATGGACTTTTATACAGCCTAACTCTACTCTTAAAAGCTTCATGTAAAACATGAATATAGTATCTACAACAGAAGAGATGACATCCAGTAAAGGAAACAAAGCTAAATGAAGGAAAGAGATGATGAAAGGACATGTAGTCTAATATATAGCCAATGACTTAAGGTTCATCACAAAGATAATATAAGTTTGAAGAATCAGATAAATTTGAGATAAGGAGTAATAGATGGTGAGCAAAGTCAGGCAACTGATTGGGGAGGGGCATGAAGGAAAACTTTGGCATACTGGTAGATTTATTTTGGTGGTAGATACATTAATGTATCACATATAAAAATTTATAAGCTGTGCAACAAAACGTGGGACCATCTAAACATACTATTGTATATGGGTCTCCTATAGAATTGCCTCAATTTAAATAATAAAAAAATTTTAAAACTAAGCATTAGAAAAATCCTAAAAGTCTTCCCTCCAGATAATCTGCAATGATACCATTTTTTTCAATCGAGATACATATACACATTGCAAGATCCATTCAAATCTAAATTTTAAAAATCATAACCCAGCACAAGCTGTTCTCTCTGCCAAAAAGCAGTGAAGGTGTTGTCACATTTCATCTCATTCATAACAGATGGAGATGACAAATAGAAGTATTTTAGGAGAGAGACTGACAAGGAAATTTGGCAGCACAATTCTCATCTTTTGTTCATTAAGCAGAATCACACTATGGTAAATTGGATTGTTGTTCAGCAAATAGTCACCCCCTCCCTGGACCGCCATAAGAGACTATTCTTCCACTCCACCCTCCATGGGTTTGGCCATGTGACTTGCTCAGCCAGTAGGATGTTAAGATACATGATGTAACAGAGCTTTGACATGGATTTGTGCATTTGGCCTTGCCTTCTTGTGTTACTGGCTTTTGTCCACACAGGATGAGAAATACATGGGACAGATATGGACCCAACTTGGAGCTTGGCACCTACATCAGCCCATTCTGTTCACCAGAATCCTAGACAATCTGCTGATGTGTGTGGATGAAATTAATGCTTGGTCTCCTATGGAACTGTCTCAATTTCAGGTTGATTCATCACTGCCCAAGGTTACTTCATGGAAGAGTCTGGACTTAAATGATGCAGGGGTTGAAGGGCTCTGAGGAGAGACAACTCCCGGCACACCCCATGAGTCTCAGTCCAGCTGAGTCTGTCATTCAGACAACATCGAACCATCTTCCCCCACTATACAATCCTGCTCCATCCTTTCTCTTCCACAGGTGTTGATCCCAAAGGAACTTGCTAATAATTTTTTTGAATGAAGATCATCATTAGACTCTGTTCCCCAGGGAAACCAACCTGTTATATGTAGCATTATTAAACTAATAGCTGATATGTGTATGTGTGTGGGGGGGTGTGTGTGTATGTGTATTCAATACTAATTATTGATTTGCTCAGGAACAATTTTAGTGAAACTTTAAATTGATAACTCCAGCACAAGCTGGATATAGTACCACCACCTACAGTTGCAGCCACTCAGGAGGCTGAGGCAGGAGACTGAGCTCTGGAGTTTGAGGCCAGGCTAGGCAACAAAGTGAGACTCTGTCTCAAAAACAAAAAAATAAAAATAAAGCTATAACTCTAGTACAAATTACAACATTCAAAACATTGTACCAAGGGAATGGGGGGATATAGCTCAGTGGTGAAGCACTTGCCTAGCATGATGAGGCCCAGGTGTCAGTCTCTGCACAGCAAAAAAACAAAAAACTCCCATATCATGTCTATCTAAAAATTACTGAACATAAAGATTTTTCAAGCAGAAGGTGAATAGAAACTCTTATGAGTAAATCTCACATTATGATCAAGGCACAAAAATTATATATAAAAAGCATGCATTCCCTTTCAATTTTTGCTTCAAAAGGAGCAAAATATTGTGAGAATCATATTGCACATCCTAAAAGAAACTGCAATACATTAGAAGGATTGGGACCACAAACCACTCCCAAGGCAAACAGCATAATCTTTTGATCCCAAGTTGGGGTACAGATCAGTGACTGAGCATCAAGCGTGAGGCCCTGGGCTCGATCCCCAGCTCAACCCCCACAAAACTTTATGACCTCATTTCCTTGAAAATTAACTCACAGTTCAAAATACATGAGTTAAAGGAATATCTACAATCTTAAATGTTTATAATGGAAAAGAAGGCAAATGAAAATTAATTGGCTTAAAAACTGTCATAAGAAATTAAAGTGCTGGGGCTGTAGCTCAGTGGCAGAGCACTTGCGAAGCATATGTAAGGCACTGGGTTCAATCCTTAGCACCACATAAAAATAAACAAATAAAATAAAGGCATTCTGTCCATCTACAACTACCAAAAAAAATTGGAAAAGAGCTCTGTAGTATACCTAAAAGCAGATGAAAAGAAACAATAAAGAGCAAAAATAAGTTAAATAGGAAACACACAATAAAGAAAACTAAAATCTCATTCTTTTAAACAACTAATGAAAAAAGAAACCTCTGGCAAAGCTATCAAAAAAAAAAAAAAAAGAAGAAAGAAAGAAAGAAATGGGAAATGACATGCATAAAATGCCATGGTCACAAAAGACCGAGGA